TATATATATATATATATATATATATATATATATATATATATATATGAGATACATACAACATTTTCTTAACTTATACATTACTTTGTGGTTTAATTCTGTGGTTGTTCTACTTATCGATTGTTCGAGTTTAAAGCGTTAGTAGTCGCTATCGAAAAATTATTTCCAGACTTGCCATATATCTTCAAAAGAACATAAATGGATCAATGAGAATCGGTTGATTCCGATTTTACTTTACTCTAGTGGTTAAGTCCTTCAAACGCCAAATCTATTTGATCGGTTTGTTTTCGTTTATTCTCCATTGCTAAGTAAATTATCTGCGTTCTTACTTGCAATTTCTTGTTCTGGACTATGATTTCGATTTTATTTAGCCCAAACTCTAAAATCTGTTACGTCGGTGTGTCTTTATCTGTCTGTTGTGTTCTTCCCCCTTCCTCGGGAAACTATATTCTATTGTACTTCCAATCTCTGATTTTGGACTATGAATTTTTTTTCTCGTTTAGTCTATCGACTCCACATTTCAAGGGGTGTGTACGAGACTATCGATTGTTGATTTGTTCTATATCATTAGTTGTTTATATTGTTTCTAGCTCTAATATTTCCCCACATTTTATCTATTTGACTTCATGTATGAATTTCAATTCTTGAATTAGAGTCGTCTGTTTGGCATTTTCCCGGATATTTCTGCCAACACTTTCGTAAACCTGCTCCTATTTTCAAATTGTTAATACCCGTTTTTTTTTTTCCAATGGGTACAGAAAATGCTAGTGATGGGCGTTACTCCCCTGAACGAAAAGCCTTTGTTGGCGCCACAGCTTCTCAAGTAAAGAAAATTAGCCCTATTGACAACCAAGACACATCAGCTAGAAGAAGAAGTTCTGTTGGTAGTAACGAAAACCGAACGAGCCCAGCAATGTTTCGTAAATTGGACACCAAAAAGCGCAACATCTCGAAACTCGAAACTGCTGCTCATGGCACCACATATATAGAAAATGATGAACCTTTTGATGGTGATGAAAAAATTTCTAGAATCGGAAAGCCCGAAATCAAACGGGCCCTGTTCAATGAGGACTATGATAAGCAGAAGCACCGTGTGGTTAGAAGTGATTCTCCGGTTGGTCCAGGCGGCGAGGCGAGTATTGTATATAATAATAATGACACTGGAGATGTATGTAGGAACCAGAGAAACTGCCAAGACCTATCTTTGATCCGAAATCAACTGGTTCAGATCGAAAACCAGCAGTCCAGTTTGTTGGAGATTCTCCAGGTGAATATTCATTTACGTATCTGAGTAGATTCGTTTTATTACAAAACATTATTCGGGTACTAACGTTCACTTGTAACATTGTGTTGAAATCACAGAGATTTATTGGGAGCTCGCAAAACGGTATTCATTCTCTCGAGGCACGTGTTCACGGTTTAGAACTCGCTCTCGATGAAATCTCGTTCGATTTAGCCGTCTCTAACGGAAGGATGTCGCAAAAGGATGCCTTGTGTTGCAAGTTACCTGGTACCGATTTCTTGAGCTCGAAGCTCTGGAGAAAAACGGAAGCATCAGCTGCTGGGGTGAGAAGCATCGCCGGCAGGAGTGGAGATGGTGAAGGAATATTCCCGTTGCATAACAGGAGATACCGTTTTCGTGGTGCTCATGGCCTCGTAATGAACCCGTTGGCCGAAATCTCTAGAAGCTCCTCCCGGATTCTTCCGGAAGTTTCCTCGAGTGGGGTTGCTTAGTACATTGCTGTTTTAAAGTCAACTAACCCGAAATATATCGCCCGGAGAAACTACTAAATACAAAGAGCTTGTACTTGTGTTTGTTGTTGGCTGGATTCTTCTTGGAAGAGTACTAAAGAATAGATGCATATATACTAAGAGTGGCTTTTCTTCTATTTTCCTTTTTTTGTGTATTAAAGATTCTCTTTTCGTTTTTTCGTTGAGTCGACATGTACTCGAAAAATTGTATGTACTATCGGTAGCGGAAATCAGACGTATCAAATCGAAATTAGTTCTCTCTGGGAAAAAAACGAATCTTTTTTTTTCGGAACTCCAAAAATAATTTCAATTTCGCCCCCAAATACAATATGAAGTATATAATAATAGTAAAATACATAATAAAATTGGCTAGTAACCAGAAACTCAAAGGAATCAACGAACGATGATTCAAAGTCGAGCTAACTGGTAACCAGAAACTCAACTCAGTAATTTCAAGAATTCGGGATTTAAATTTATAGATTCGAATGTTATAGAAATTCCTGCAATGCATGGATCAAGGTTACCTATAAGAGTTATAAATTAGAAAAAGAAAATGATCTAATAATTTATAATAAATTCATTAAAAATGTCACTCTCTCAGATATATATATATATATATATATATATATATATATATATATATATATATATATATATATATATATATATATATATATATATATATATATATATATGTATAAATATATAGCTATATATATATATGTGTATATCTATATCTGTATCTTTCTCTAAGAGAGATCTCCACGCACATTTTCCTCGCGAGCGCGTCTTTTCGTATGTGTATGTATGCTGCCGAGAGAGAAAAAGCCACCTTCTGTGTCTTTTTTTTTTCTCAGAGAAATATATAGGGGGGGGGGAGGGAAAAAAAAAAAATACCGAGTGAGCGAGATTTATCGCTAGAAAAAAACACTGCGTCACATATGTATATGTAAAAGATGTGTGGCGCTCTAAAAAATAAATAAACGCACGTGAGGGGTGAGTGCTTATACACAACACACTAGCGTGTTCTCTCACACAAAAAACGAAGATGCCACACAATTTATATATATTCTGTTAAGACACACACAAATA